ATGAACTAAGGGGCGGGGAGTGGGGCATACTGAAGGGTTGGGCTGTGCAGGGTGAAGGGGAGATAAAGGGGGAAAATTCGGAAAACTAATAGCATAATCAATACAATATACTTAAAAATACTACTACTTGCTTTGGGATCTAGGAGTAAATATTTTTATGTGATTTAACTCTCAAGTTTAAAAAGTTTATAATTTTATACTTAAGAGTTTGCTCCATGGTTATGAGGAGGATATCCTACAATGTTTCACTTGGAAGATTATACCCAGTAAAAAGGTTGTGCCTTCACTGAAAAAAATTTTTTTTAAATTTTAAACACCCTAAAAAAAAACCTCTCCAATTTCCACCAATCAAGTTTCTTCTAGCTTTGAAACACTAACTTGCTTTATTTAAAGCATGATGCTCTTTCATCTGCCTCCTTCAAAAAACTTTAAATTAGTCTTAACTCTGCTATGAATGAAATTCTTGAAGAGTTTAAATAGAAGGCTATGTATCAAAATAAAATAAAAATTTATTTTAGGTATCTTCTCTGGAAACAATTTCTTTCCTAAGAGGGTAAGGTATTTAAAGGTTACAAATTCTGATAGCGTATTACTCTATATCATACAACTGAAAAAGCAGTAGACTTTCTATTTGTTTCATCTCAGATTCTTTAATGTGCCATTTAATATGATGCTAATACTTTTGACCCTAAATATGTTCACCCAAATTATTTTAGAATCTAAATGCCGAGCTGGAAAGCACCTTACAAACGATGTAGTTTAATTCTCTTATTTCATAGATTAAGAAATGAAGCCCTAGCCCTGACTGGTGTGGCTCAGTTGGTTGGAGAGTCATCCAGTAGGACCAAAACCTATCCAGTGGGTTTGATTCCACGTCAGGGCACATACCCAGGTTGGGTTTGATCTCTGATCAGGGCACATATAAGAAGGCAACCAATTTATGTTTCTCTCGTTCTACCTTCCCCTCTCTCTAAAAGCAATGAGAAGATGTCCTCCAGTGAGGATTTAAAAAGAAAGGCCTGGTGTGATCAAGAAGCTGGTATTCCACGATCGGAAGTGTAACTAGTTCAATCTTTTACCTTTTTTCAGCACTTATTTCAGTATATGACCTGAACTTTCGCCAACTATTACTACATCTTGTTTTTCTAAGTCCTTTTTTCTAAGGAAAAAGAAAGTCTTTGTTTTTCTGTTGGCTGCATCATTAAGCAGATACTGTTTTAAGAAAATTTCAAGAAAGAGCTCTTCCAAGTAGTAGGTGTAGCATCAATGACTCACTGGTACCTACAAAGCACCAAGCTCATGAAAATTATTACAAAGTCCTAGTGTACATGCATTCTGATATGCCTGATTACCAAGCAAGCAAAGTTCTAGATTAATGAGAGAAGCTGGCAACTGTGTCATTGTAGAATACATCAGTACACCAATAAATTTAGTTCATGCAGCCTTCCACACAATCCGAAAAAGAAAGGCATGCACTAACATTTCTGCCATGTGTTCACCTGCAGCACTTACTTATAAAATCCCTTTAGAACAATGACTCTTGTCACCTAGTAGGTGACTTTGCATATGTTTCAGAAATGTTTTAACAGCCCAAGTTAAAGCTGCAGATGTTACTATGCTGTACACCTGAAATTAAAATAATTTTGAATGCCAAGTGTAATTAAAAAGTAGAAATAAAAGAAAAATAAAGCTGCAGGTTGTTCAAAAGTTCTAAGCTTAATTCTATTATGTTATAACAAAGGACTGTGTTGAACACTTGTCAACAAAACTTTAAAGGCAAAAGTGTTACTTCAGGGTCCTTTCTGGTAGATCTTAGAAGAATTTTAGTTGGCAAAAATATTTCCAGGGATTAAGGCAGTATTACTTAATACTTAGGCAATACTACAGTGTTAATTACTTAATACTTAAGGTAGTATTATTACTTAACAATATAATACTTAAAGAAGTATTACAAGTTAATCCAAATAGAATTTAGATAAATGTGTATCTCAAGTTTTTCTCAAAAGAAGACATTCCTTGCCCACTACACATTTTGATATAAATAAGCCAAAACTTTTAAAGGAACTTTTTACACTGTTCTTAAGGCACAAAATCCAATATCTTAAAGGGTCTCCTGGTACATTCTGCTAGGAAAGGGAAGGATAAATAACTCTTAAGACACTGAAAGCTGAAAGAAAAGGATGGTATCTCTTTTTAAGAAAGTGTAGTACTTTTAATTAGCTTCAAATTCTTTGGAAATAATGATATAAAAGGAGAGTTCAGAACATTTATAATTCAGCTCTTCCCAGCTAGTATTTTGAAACTAAAAAAATTACCTCAATTCATTAATTTATTCAGTACTAAACAATGTTATAGGTATAGTTTACACTGGTGTATAGCGCCTAAAGTACTTTTCATTTTCTGTCTTTTGTTTAGTTCAAACAAAGGAATTCTGTATTCTAGGAGAAATGAAATCAAAGTCTATAGTTGGTGTAGGAATGAGAACATCACAAATATGACAGTTGATGAGTAATAAAAAATGGGTAGAAAAAGAGTTCATATATTAATAATTACTATCAAGTGTAGAATTTTGTTCCAGAACTTTACAACCCAGATCTTAAAGTTTTGGAAAATGAGTTAATGGTTTTGCCAAAAAAAGATTATTATTCCATGCTATTCATTAACAGTGCTGGGTTGGCCATAAAGTCTATATGTTTTTTTCTGTAAAATAAAAGATACATTTTTCATTTTCACCAATAACTATTGATGATTTGGATATTTTGAGTATGTCAGTTATCTCCCGTGTGGTGTAATGTTGATTGTTCTCAAATTAATGTCTTGATTTGATCACTATCATCCAGAGAGAAATCTCTAGCACCAAACTTTGCAAACCTCTTTGGACACATTCAATCAATCAGTCACAGCACCTTCTCCATACTTCCAAAATCTGTTTTTGCATGTCAGTTGTGTTTCTGTCTTTGGTGAAATATAATAAAGTATAACATGTTGAAAATGTTGCATATTTTCTTCCATCTTCAATATTAAAATGGCTACACAAAAATTCACCAGCTTGGTAGTTTCTCTTAAATGCACAGCTGATACGACAGCTGTCACAATACAATCTAACAGAATCATTCTGAATGAAGTTAAAGACAACTAAGTGCTAATAGAGCCATTATTCTGAAAACAGAGAAGGAGCTTTTTGGCCAACCCAATATAATTGTAATATAGTAATAGCATAGGTTTTTTTTTTTCCTGACTTGACTATTTAACAAAGCTTGGTAAATCAAGCACACACTAGATCAAGACAAAGTTTACAACTGGTATATTTGGTTTCCGTAACTAGAGAAAGAAATTATTTTCCTTCTTTTCCACAATGAAGAGAACTCCAAAGCACTAATGTTCCTAGGAAGTAAGGCATGATCTCCTTTCTCCAGCAGCTAAGGTGTTCAAAACATGTAAGTGGACCAGCATCTGTGTCATGACGCCACCTTTCCCCACCCACCCCAATAAAGGGCTTGGAAATTTAGGGACAACTGAGCAGCAGCTTCTTGTTCAATGGTCACCAATGAAGACAAGCTCCCCACTTATATACCTTTGGTTCTTCCTGTGCCCGTGCAATGACCGAGTGGGACAGGTGGAAGATAATCTTCTAAAAATAAAACCTTAAACGAAAAAATTGTTTTCTACCCCAAACTGTTACCTTTTCAACCCCAGAAAGTATTCACTTGACAACTGATTATCTATTTTGAGCTCTTCTGTTGAGTTGGTAAATAAGTAGCGATCAAGATTTCTCATTTGAACAACAACAAAACCCAAACCCTCCTTTCCTCTTTAATTTACTAGAATATTTTGGTGGCTTAGCTGGTTGCCTCTCATATGCATCTCGATGAAGGAATCGAACCAGCAACCTTATGGTGTGCAGGATGCTATTCATCCAACTGAACCACCTGACCTAGGCATACAGGGTTTTTAAATAAATTTAAGTCATTTTTATTTTTCAATTATTGTACAGCTGACATACAATTTATATGGTTTCAGGTGTACACTCCAGTGATCAGACATTATATAAGCAAATAATCATCCCAATTAAACTAGTACCCATCTGACACCACGCAAAGTTGTTACAATATTATTGACTATACTCCCTATGCCATACTTTACAGCTCCATGACTACTTGGTAACAATCAATTTTACTTCTTAATCCCTTCGTCTTTTTCTCGCATCCCCTCCACATGCCTCCCTCTGGCAGTCAAAATGTTCTCTACATTTATGAGTCTGTGTCTGTTCTGCTTTTTTGTTTACTGGGGTTTGTTTTAAGAGTCATTTGTGGATACGTATTTATTGCCATTTTATTGTTTGTATCTTTGATCTTTCTTCTTCTTAGCAATACTCAGAAATAGGTGACATACCAGGCACAAGACCATTTGGGTGGCCAGCAGTTCTGGTATTTATGTCTACTTACGTAGTGGCAAGTCACTAGTTGAGATCTTCCTCGAGACTTACAATTTATTCAGCTTTTGGAAATTTACTGGATGAAAAGACACACATTGCCAGTCTGTTTCAAATGATATTTGAGCAACACAACAGGATGTTTGATGGCAAAGTCTGCCAAGTTATAAAAAGAAAAAAAGAAAATGCCTCTCCTACCTGATTCTACAACAAGCTGTTGAGGGGAAAAACAAGTTCATACACCTCACACTGTAGACCCATAAAAAAAAAACATAGCTCTGGCTGGTGTGTCTCAGTGGATGGAGTGCTGGCCTGTGAACCAAAAGGTCAAGGTCACTGGTTCAATTCCCAGTCAGGGCACATGCCTGGGTTGTGGGCTAAGTCCCCAGTGGAGGGGGTGTGAGAGGCAACCACACATTGATGTTTCTCTCCTTTTCTTCCTCCCTCCTTTCCCCCTCTAAAAATACATAAAATCTTTCAAAGGAAACCCAGCTTCTCACTTTACCCAAACTCTATGCACGGGCACCTGGCACCTGTACAGAGAACCTTCCCAGACCAAGAGCCCTACCTTGCTGACTGGGCTGCCTTGTCATCATCAGAGCTCAGATCCACATCCACAGTGTCTTCTGCAGCAGGGGAAGCTGCCTGGTCTTCCTTTTTACTCTCCTGTTTGCATTTCTTTCTTCTTCGTTTTTTCTTTTTCACAGAACTTGGAGTAAAAACTGTCTCTGTCTCCAAGATGTGTGAGATGTCAGAACTCTGAGATGGTCTTTCATTTCCACCTGATTTTACCAAAGGGGAGTCAATGTCTTTAAAGAACTGATCTTCGGTAGGAATTGGTGAAGTGGCAAGGTAAGCAGGAAGTTTTTCCTTAAAGAGAACATGGAGAAAGAAAAGTTGTCCATGGCAAACTGGGCAGTGAATCAAAATAATAATGAATTCTTTGCATACTCAAATTTTCACAGTGGTAGAAAGAACACAGTTGTTGAAGGTTAGAAAGTCATATTGAATTAGGCCACTGCCTGCTCTACTCTAAATAGGTCTTTACTCTGTTCTACAGAGCTCAGTGTTAGCTCATTATGGTCCATGTAACTGAGTATCTTTTAAGGAACCATTATGCTACGTCAGCATGGAACACATGAAAGCTATAATTAAAGCAGAGCCAATTAAACTCTGTAAAAAGAAGTTTGAGGCAGCAACAGCAATGTTCCAAGGAGGTATTAGAAAGCACTCTGCCAAGAACTTGGACAAAGCAGAAAACAAAAATCAGAAATACCTCAGCAGACAAAGGGCAGCAGGACAGGCTAAGAGAAGTAAGAAACTATGACAAAAGTTGCAGTTAATGCTTCTGGTTTGTCAAATTAACTGAGGGTGGAAGAAAGCAGTTATAACAGAAAGAATAACAAAGGAAGTGGATTTTTAAATCATAAAGTATTTAAGATATCCTTTTATGAATTCAAAAGAAGAAAATAAATCTCAACAGTTAGAAATAATTAAGCTCTTATAATATTAAATAAACGATCAAGTCTGGTGTTCAAAAAATGAACTCAATCATTTTACTGTAATTTTTTTTCGGACTATAAGATGCACTCTCTCCCCAAATTTGGGAGGAAAAGGGGGATATGTCTTATAGTCCAAATGTAGTTTACCTGGCTCGATTGGGGTTGCGGGGGGAGGGGGTGGCTATGTTATTTGTGTTACTAAATATTTTATATTTTTTGCTTCAAAATTTTTTTCCTCTAAACCTAGGTGCGTCTTATGGTCCGGTGCGTCTTACAGTCCCCAAAATTCAGTAGTTCATTCTTTCATATCATGGGGAAAATGGAAGGGAGGTAACAGAAATATAGAACACTCAAGTTTTTATGTAGCAGTCCTGAAAATAAGTGGATTTTCACACTTGTTTTAAATTAAGATTCTCAATTTGGTTTTGGTAAAAATAACCCAAAGTCGAAGTTTTGTTTTCCCAAGCAAAATTTGTGTTCACCAGCAATACATACTTAGAAACTGTGATGATAGGATATTTATTATTCTGCAAGCCCACAAAGCACTGAGGTCACAGGCCATGGTGTCTGAAATCCAGGGCCTTTTAATTCAATTGCCTTTGTTATGAAGTTTACTTGTACTTCTTAAAAGATGTTTTGTTTCTGACAATGTTTCCTAGTTGTCAGAAGTCTGTAGGGGAGGGGGATGAAGATGTACCAAGTAGTAATTACAATGTTGTTGGAAGAATAATTTTTTTAATTTTTAAAAAAGATTTTATTCATTTATTTTCAGGAAGAGGGAGGGTGAAAGAGAGGGAGAAGTACATCCATTGGTTGCCTCTTACACGCCCCCAACTGGGGACCTGGCTTGCAACCCAGGCATGTGCCCTGACTAGAATCAAATCAGTGATATTTTGGTTTGCAGGCTAGTGTTCAATACGCTGAGCCACACCAGCCAGGGCTTTTTTTTTGTTAATTTTCAAATGATGTACAGTATACTGAAGAAAACCTGGCAAATTTAGTTATACACGGAATAGGAAAAATTGCTAGAAGTTAACATTTTCCAAGTTAACCTTGCTACACATAATTTTAAATGGCATCATCAGACCTGAACTGACCATGAAAACCAAGCCAAGTAACAAACTATCAATAACCTAGTCCTTCCACTTGTTGATTTATATTAAGCCCCATCAGTGTTATAAATTTCACGTGATTTTAAGAAATACATCAAAAATAGTTTATTCCTCTAATAACTCACTAATTGCTTCATTCTGCCTTTGCTTATCTCATGAAGAAAAATTTTATTTAGGCCAAGTAAATGCAAACAAGATATTAAAAACAAGTAATTAAGGTACTAGGAAAACCAGACTGGTCTGATAAGGTTCCCTGTCATAATCATACTGTGTCAATGTTGCTTTACATACTAGTACCTAAGGTGTTGGCTTCTCTCTAAATTAAAAAATTATAATCTCATTCTGCTAAAGATGATTTTTTGGTAATTTTTTCCTTTGTCAATTTATGACATCAAACTGGCAATTAGTCTTCAAAACCCAAAAAAGTAATCTTGTAGCCTAATAATAACTTGAAGCTTATCATTTTTGCCGAGGTTTTATTCTTTATATAAAAGATGTAACAATGCCTTCTAAGAATCTATAAAGAGATCCACATTAAATCCATCAAGAACAGTTTACCATTCGAATCAGTAGATACAAGGAGAAGAGGAGGAGGGGAGGAGAGTGGGGGGAAAGTAGGGGAAGGCAAAAGAATGTGTGTCTGTAATGAAAGAATGTGCCCTGGCCAGCGTAGCTTAGTGGATTGAATGTGGGCCTACGAACCAAAGTGTTGCTGGTTCAATTCCCAGTCTGGGGCATATGTCTGGGTTGCAGGCCAGGTCCCCAGTGGGGAGGGGAGAGTGGGGCAAGGGACAGGCAACCACACATTGATGTTTCCCTCTCTTTCTCTTTCCCTTCCCCTCTTTCTAACAATAAATAAAATCTTTTATTTATTTATTTATTTTTTTTTAAGATTTTATTTATTTATCTTTAGAGGGGAAGGGAAGGAGAGAGGGAGAGAAACATCAATGTACAGTTGCCTTTCATGCATCCCCTGCTGGGAAGTGGCCTGCAGGGAACTGGCTTGCAACCCAGGCATGTGCCCTGACTGGGAATCGAACCGCGATTGTCTGGTTTGCAGGCCCGTGCTCAATCCACTGAGCTACACCAGCCAGGGCTTTAAATAAAATCTTTTAAAAAATTGTGCTCTCTTGCTTAAAGAAGCCAAACACGCAATAATTATTTATAAAGGGTATAAGCCCATTAATTTAAATCCCTTGAAACCCTAAGAAGCCACTTCACCAAGATACACCTTCGTTACTTAGGCAGAACTCAAATGTATTCAAGTCAAGATATAAACTGTAACAGACACTAAATAAAAAAGTTCATTAAAGCCAGAGAGAAAGCCCTGGCTGGTGTAGCTCAGTGGATTGAGCGCGGGTCTGCGAACCAGACAACCGCTGTTCGATTCCCACCCAGTCAGGGCACATAGGGTTGCAGGCCGGTTCCCTGCAGTCCAGTTCCCAGCAGGGGATGCACGAAGGCTACCACACATTGATGTTTCTCTCCCTCTCTCCTTCCCTTCCCCTCTACAGATAAATAAATAACATCTTAAAAAAAAAAAAAAGCCAGAGAGAAAGATGTGCCTTTCCTTACTAAAAGAACAGGTATGAAGGCCTTCCGCATTCTCTCTGCACCCTGAAATCTGGCACGGAATAAAGGTCCTTCTCACTCCTCCAGCTGCTTTCTGATAGCTCAGTTCTTAAATCTAAAACTAAACCTTGCTTAACTAGCAACAATCATCTGTACAATTAACCATGAAAATGGAGCATTTCTGTTTTGGGATATGCACCCGAGACCTCAATACAATGCATAAAGTGGATATGACCCACTAGACTTACATATTCCTCTTCAGTCTCCTCCACAAAGAAAGCTTCTCCATTGTCACCCAATTTCATATGAAGATCCACTGCATCACCATTGATTTCTATATCAATCTAAGTGGAGAAACAAAGTGAGATTTAGCATTAAGAGTCTTTCATTTAAGGTAAACTAAGCCTAAATTCTGGGTTCTCAAACTAAACAGTACTGAGATTCCTACAGTGACAACCCCAGAGAAACACTGCTACCTGCTCCTCCTCCCACGCCTAAAAAAACCAAACAACTCTTGGGGGGCAGCATGAGGGAGGGGATGGTAATCAGGGATTGAAAGAAAATGTTTTATCATCTATTTTTATAACATATAAACATTTATAATTATTTAATTCCCAAATGTCATAGAAGAGAGGAATCGTCACTGTCAAAAATCTGAGCACTTTCAGAGTTAATGCAAAGGTAGGTCTCATCTTGCATGGTTCAGGTAAATGCAAATTTCAGTTACCATAGTATGTTAAATGTGACTGCAGGAAGGACAAACTTCACTGCCAGCTCTTCTATCCACCCATCACTATATAAAGAACAGATGCCCATCATGATCAATAACCCTCGTCACTTTGTCCAAGTCTGTGACTGGTCCCAACACTACTGTTACTCAGTTCAGACAGCAAAGCACACTGTGCTGCCTCCTTGTCTCCCAGTGATATAAACCCATGTAACATTTTATAAAAAAAGAAAATTGAAAGAGGAAATTACCCAAGATCAAAGTGCAGTACAGAAACAAAAAGTAGTAGCATTGGAAGTAAACTTCAAATGGAATGTGAACAGGTACAGAAGAAATAGCTGATGGTGGGAACACTGATCCTGCAGCCATTTGAGACTTAAGATGTGCATCTGGAGGAACTCGGTGACCGTGAGTTTACCAAACAAATAAGAAAAGTGCTTCTGACGAAAAGGATGATGACAGTCTTGAGGAAAGTGGCGTAGGCAAAAAATTTCATGTCAAAGGAACTCTGAGATACTTGACGACATTGAAAATTCAAAGGATAAAAAGTTGGAAGCTGATCTAAACTTATAAAGTATGACAATTTGCCAAGACAGAGAAAAGACACTTGTTCCACATCACGAGTTTAACATTAAGGAGAGCCCTGTTAAAACTACCTGTTTTTACAAAAAGTAACACTTTACTTCTCAGTGTTTCTAATGCTTTAACTTGCAGTGTACTAAATACTATTTTACTATTTTTCATTTCCCTATACATTTATACCTGACAGTAAACAATTTTAAAGCTGTGACAAACATTTGTAAACGACATGGAAGAATCCTAATTTTTTCCACTGATTATAAAAAAGTTTGTTTTGCACAGCTTCAGCTTACCCAGACATTTTTACAGGTCTGTACTAGAATGCAGAGTAAAGACTGTTTATATACAATGCTAACTGCTATTACATCATGTAAAAAAAAATGTAGCTGTTTATCTCTAGGCTGTGCATAAATTCTTTTAAGTACTATACAATAATAAATGAATACCAACTTTTGAAACTTGTATGAATAACCCTATAAACTCCAGTTTTATTTGAGTCTCACATGAGGATGTATTTCAGAGGGAGAGGGAAAGAAGGAGAAAGAGAAACATCAACCAGCTCCCCCTACACGTGCCCCAGATCAAACCTACAACTTAGGGTTTATGTGCCCTGACCAGGAATTGAACCTGTAACCTTTTAGTATGTGGGATGATGCTCCAATCAACTGCGCCACCCAGCCACGACAGATACATGTTTTAAATGTTTTCAGAATAAACTGGCTGAAGTCACATAAGCATCTAGAGTCATTTAAGATTTCTGAAGCAGCTGTAATATAGCAGCTTCTTCCACAACCATAGGAAGACTGTATATAAAAACTAAAAAAATTAAAAAATATGTAATTTTTTTAGACTATAAGCAAAAGGGTGGGGAAAAACTAAATTTGTTCCATAATGGCAAATTTAGGTTTCTCAAGATTACTTAAATAATTAATTAAACTTATTCAAGTACAGGTTGAACATGTAAAATAATTCTTTGGTGATTTGTTGCATAAATTCTTTAAGTTAAATTAGACAAATGAAATATTTAAAGCTATTTTATTTTTAGTAAAAAATATAAGATTCAAATTAATACCATCCTTCAAATTTTTCATTTTTGGAGATTACCCATTTACCGAATGTATCTGAGAAAATAAAATAATGCTTCCTCAAGATACAAAATGAACTGTTTTTAATACCACCTTAGAAAAATTAATCCACTCCTTTATAACCCTTACTTTTAGAGATTAAGGATAACATTTTTGAATATGACTCTTGATTTGACTTGCAATGGAGTTTGGTTCTTTCTAAAAATTAAATCTAGTATCACAGTGTCCCAACACTCTGAGTATGCCGTAAGTTCTTTAGGCAACAAAGAAAAATTAAAAATATTTTGACAGATGGCACAAGATGAGTAAGTGCTTTCCCAAGGTAATTATTTTAAAACAGACACTCAACTTGACGTAGTACTTCTCGTAAACTGGTTGCTAAAACAACACTCATTTCCATATATCCAATTCCCTACACTGGCTTAACCTCACTCAACATTAATGACTAACAGGTTGAAAGCAACCTGATTTACTTTTGAGAAGTACTGGCTGTAGCAAACACTTGTTTTTGTTAAGAATATCTCTAATATCCTGTGGGGATCTATTCATCCTCTATTTCATACCATCTATTTCAGGTGTGGCTTCAGAGAGTGGAGGTGGGGCTATTATCCAAGCCACGCTAATCAATATATTTTACCTCAAGCTATAGTCACTGGTCCCCAAGATATATGTGACCCACCTGTTGGGAACACGAAACACTGGTACTTGTGTTGGAAGGGGAAGTTCTCTTTCCACTGGGGTTGCTGAGTTAATGGGAACTAAGCGTGGCGGTACTGGCGGCCACCTCGTGTTAGAAGATATACAAAGGGAAGCAGAGAGGAGGAGTAGAGGTCTGATAACACTTTTTTAAAAACTTTATTGATTATGCTATTACAGCTGTCCCAATTTTTACTCTTTGCCTCCCCCAAGCACACCTCACTCCCTCCAGAGATCCTCCCCTCCTTGTTCATGTCCATGGGTCATTCATGTAAGTTCTTTGGCAACTCCATTTCTTGGACTTGCTGTTAACAACAACCCCCTGCCTATTTTGGAACTACCAATTTGTACTTCTTAATCCCTGCACCATTTTCTCTTATTCCCCCAGTCCCTACTCCCAACTGGTCACCCTCTCAATGTTCTGCAAATCTATGATTCTGCTTTTGTTCTGCTTGTTTACTTACTTTGTTTTTTACATTCAGCTGTTGACAATTATGTATGTCTTTAATGTTCATAGTTTTGATCTTCTTTTTCTTAAATAAGTGCTTTTAACATTTCATATAATAATGGTTTGGTGCCCTGGCTGGTGTAGCTCAGTGGATTGAGCGCGGGCCTGCGAACCACACGATCGTGGTTCGATTCCCAGTCAGGGCACATGCCTGGGTTGCAGGCCGGTTCCCTGCAGGCCAGTTCCCAGCAGGAGACGCACAAAAGGCAACCATACATCGATGTTTCTCTCCCTCTCTCCTTCCCCCCTTCCCCTCTAAAGATAAATAAATAATAAAATATTTTAAAAAAAAATAATGGTTTGGTGATGATGAATACCTTTAGCTTTACCTTGTCTGGGATGCACTTTATCTGCCCTTCCATTCTAAATGATAACTTTGCTGGATAGAGTAGTCTAGATTGTAAGTCCTTGCTTTTCATCTTTGAATACTTTAAAAAAAAATTTATTTAGCATATTTTTTGGACCATAAGATACACCTAGGTTTTAGAGGAGGAAAATAAGAAAAACAATTTGAAGCAAAAAAATGTGGTAAAATATTTAATAATATAATATTTCACCAATGTACGTGTAAACAGAACTCAACAGCAGCAATAACCACCATTATTCTTCCCAAATTTGGAGGAGGGGAAAACAAAACAAACCCCCCCCCAAAAAGAAAAAAAAAAGTGCATCTTATAGTCCGAAAATACTGTATTTATTTTTAGAGAGAGAAGGCAGGGAGAGAGGGAGAGAAACATCGACACGTGAGAGATACATCAATCAGTTGCCTCTTGCAGAGCCCGAACTGGGGGCCTAGCCGGCAACCAAGGCATGTGTCCTGACTGGAAATCAAACCGGTCAACTTCTGGTTTGCAGGCCGGCACTCAATCCACTGAGCCACACAAGCCAGGGCAGAAATATTTCTTGACAATCCCGTCTAGCTTGCAAAGTTTCTTGGGAGAAATCAGCTGACAGTCTTAAAGGGAAATTCTTTGTAGGTAATTACCTGCTTTTCTCTTGCTGCTTTTAAGATTATCTCTTTAACTTTTGACATTTTAATTATGATGTGTCTTGGTATAGCCCCCTTTATATCCATCTTGTTTGGGACTCTGTGCTTCTTGGGCTTGTATGTCTATTTCCTTCACCAAATTAGGAAAGTTTTCTTTTATTATTTTCTCAAATAGGTTTCAATTTCTTTCTCTTTCTCTTCTCCCTCTGGCACCCCTATCATGTGCATGTTGAAATGCTTGCAGTTGTCTCCTTATACTATCCTTGATGTTTCAGATTCTTTTCTTTTTCTGTACTGATTATGGATATCTTTTTCTTCCTATGTTCCAAAAATCATTGATGTGATTCTAGGCTTAATACACTTGACAGTTGTTTCCTGTAAACTGTTTTTTATTTCAAATAGTATCCTCTTCGTTTCTGATTGGATCATTTTTATGCTATTGAATTACCCAGTTCTTTGAGCATCCTTAGAACCAGTGTTTTCAACTCTGCATTTGATGGATTGCTTACCTCCATTTTGTTTAGTCCTTTTTCTGGACTTTTGTTCTCTTCTTTCATTTGAGACACTTTCTCTCCTCATTTTGGTAGCCATCTTGAGTTTGTTTCTATGTATTACACAGAGCTGCTTTTACTCCACATCTTGGTAGTGTGGCTTAATATAGTAGGTGGCCTGTAGGGGCCAGTGGCACAGCCTCCCCTACCCCCAAGCTGGGTATGTGAAGTGCACTCTTTATAGGATGAGCATTCCCTCCTCTTGTAGTT